GGGGGGGGGGGGGGGGGGGGCAGGGCAGGGGCCGGGAGAGGGCTGTCCCACAGCAACTGTCAATTATATGGCTAGGGAGACAAGTTGACAAACACAACATGGCCTGAATTTCTGCGGTTTTCCACAACCAATCACAATGCTCTGAATTTCTCACCGAACGTGTTGTTACGTGTCCCGCCGGGGAAGTATGATGACAAAAGTGAAACTCAGAAGGAATTAACGGGAGACCGTTTGGTTTGCTCGGGGCTCTACTCCCACAGATCTTTTTTACTGAGAGCCTAAGACCTATTTTTATTTTTTCCTCTTTTTTTTTAATACCTATTTTTTTTCTTTTCCTCTTTTTTTAAATACCTATTTTTATTTTTTCCTCCTTTTTTTTAAATACCCTCGGAAGTCAGGTTTCCTCACTCTGGTTCAGATGGAAGTGGAAAGAAAATTGGACGCTCCAAAACATTGGATGCTTGGAAAGAAATTAGACGCTCCCAATACCACATGTTTTTTTGTTTTTTTTTTGTCTTCATGTGCAAGGAACATGAGTATGGACGAAGCACAGAAATCCAGAATGCAAAATCACACTGAAGTCCAAGTAGTCAAAGCCAAAGCAGATAGCACATGGAACCGAGTAACCATCCCATTGAGAATGATACAGAAGAATCGTGAGTCAATGTCCATGCCCAACAGGGCAACACCAACAGCATAACCCAAATGTAGCTCTCTCTTGTGAATGGCGCCAGGCGCCCTATCTACTCTACAGCCTATCCTACAACTACAGCAACGAACAGCAACCAGACAACTTGACTACCAGCGAGTGATGATGTCAACACCAATGCCGACCTCCACCTTCACCAGGTACGTGTCCTCTTCCCCACACTCTCCCTTGTTACCCACACAGCGCCCTTCACCTCCGAAGACCACCTTCGCCCTTCACCTCTCTGCACCCTCATGCGGCCCAGCTATGGCTGCCAGTGCCTTGCGTGCAGGCAGCGCCCTACCGCCTAGCGCTGGCCTGCTTCACCTTAGCGCAGCACACATGCATCCGCGCAGCGTGCCCGCGATGCCAGCATTGGCCAAGATTCGTGCTCCCTCGCCCTGCTTGCCTATATGCCAATGCAGCGTGTGGGCGGCCTCCCTTCAGCCTGTGACAGAGGCTGAAGCCAACTCGATACAGTTGGGCCCCGGGGCAATGCAGTTGCGCCTCTTTCATCGAGGCCTGTGGCCAGATTCAGATAGTGGGCCGATTTCCTTTGGCATTTTCAGCCTCTCTACCCAGCATGCATTGTCGGCCTCACGTTCGAGTGCCCAGGGCCTAACTAACTCAGAGGCCCTGGGCTTTCAGCATTTGCTGAAATCCGAGTCTCGGTGCACACCAACCAACTGGCGTGCTGCAACTGTATGAACCCCACTTCGTGAAATGTTGGCACAGAGGGCTCTTGTTGATTTGCTGGCCCGCCTTCACTTAGGGCGGGCACGAGGCTTGCTGGGGCCTTAGCCCAGAACATGTACATCATGGCAAGGCCCCTACTTGAGGGCTCAATCCTCACATATGTAACACACTGGGGAAAGTAGTGATAGATCCGTACATCTGGGTCCAAGGCCCTCCTCCGTGCAAGCACTGATTTGAACCCGCAACCTCGGCCTCACGAGCCATATCTCTTAACCACTACAGGCAGTAGTAGTTATGGATCCGTACATCTGGGCCTCAGCCCTCCTCCATGCAAGCACCGATTCGAACCGGAGACCTTGGCCCAAAGAGCCTAGTCTCTTAAGCCACCAGTACCTTTCCCAGGCAAAAAAAAATTGCCCACCGGTTAACACAGAGCCCAGGCCCGGGCACGTGCACCGACCAGATTCATCCCAAATGCTTGCCGCACAGGGCCCACGGCCAACATATGGGACAGGTACTGCGGTTTAACCACTACAGCCAGGACACGGTGTTCAAAAGTGGAACCATACCGGTCGTGATGATGCTCCCCACGAATAGATTGGCGCCTGTTAAAAAAAAAAAAAAAAGATATCCACCCACCCCCTGCAAGGCTGTAGTGTCCAAACCCAAGACAACACCCGTCACTCAACGCCACACGGACACGTCGGCAATTCTTGCACACTCAGCTCCAATCAGCACGTACCCGGTCACTCAACCGGGACTTCTCTCCCCAAAACTTTCATGGGGGCCTTCCACAGTTGTTATAGATCCGTACATCTTGGTCTCAGCCCTCCTCCATGCGACCATAGATCTGAACCGGAGACCTTGGCCCAAACAGCCAAGTCTCTTGAACCACCAGTACTTGGGCCCAGCTATCGATGCCAGGCCTCGGAAAACCGTGCTTGCCGATTTTTGACAGCACCAGCACAACCTTTTGTTTTCTTTTTGGCTGGCGCCTCGTGGTGGTCCGGTAGCCCGAAGCCCAATCGCCGCGGAGCGTTAATGGGGAAGTGCCGCGGCGGATGGCTGGGCCAAGTACTGTTGGTATAACCACTGTAGCTGGGACACGGCGTTCGAAGGTTGAACCACGCCGGACATGATATTCACCCGACCCATGCAAGCACAGATTCGAACTGGGGACCTGTGGTGTGTGTCCAACTCGACGCACACCACACACGACACCACACGGACGCACCACACAGACGCAGCAATGTTGCCGCACTGCGCTCCAATCAGCAAAAAGCGACCCACCCCCACTGGTACCTAGCCCGCTCACACAAACGGGTCTTAATTTGCCCGTGGGTTCACGTGGGGAAAGGCCTGATAATAACTTCAAAGTTGAAAATTTTCAACAGGATTTGAGCTCATAACTTCTCAATTTGTAGTACAATTTTGCGAAAAAAAGAAGTATTACTTTTGCACTAGTTCTGTACTAATTTTGCACTCATTGTCTAGTAATACGCCCGTTATTTTGTTTGCGAAAAATTGTTGTTGTGTTGTTGCATCGTGCATGCTATTGAGGCGTGGAAGAATACCATCTGTCTCCCGTTCGGCGATCTTCAGCCTTCCCCCTTCCTGCCACTGGTCCTCGGGAAGCAGTTCAATGGCGACGACATCCCCATCAACAGCGCGATTCATGTCAATTCGTCCGTGGATCAGCACTTCGTCGGGCAGCGTTTCCGTCCCCACATACGCCTCAAAAGGGTTATACAAGTTCACGCGGAGTTTTCCCTGATGATATATCCCTTTCTGCAGGCCTGACGTAATTTCTGACATCAGCTTGTGCTGCATTCAGAAGACAAAGAAGAAGACAAAGAAGACGAAGAAGACGAAGAAGAAGATGAATAAGAAGACAAAGAAGGCGAAGAAGACAAAGGATCACCACAGACCACAAACCGATTGATCAGCGGAGACATTCATCAGAAAATAAGGTTTCCTATTTTGTTCATTTGTTGGTCGTTTTCGTTTGTTGTTTTGTTTGTTTTGCGTTCATTGGTTTGTCTTCAAATAGTGTTTGTTTGTCCGTTTGTTTGTTTGTTTGCTGTTCGTTTGTTTGCTCGTTTGTTTGCTCGTTTGTTTGTTTGTTTGTTTGTTTGTTTGTTTGTTTGCTTGTTTGTTTGTTTGTTTGTTTTCAAAGAGGTTAATGCCTAACACCAATGTATTCGGCCATATGGAAACAGATTGAGAGAGTCGAACTCTCAATCTGTTGATCCATAGATGGATGTGAGTACCATTCACATCCATATGGAAAGGACACAAGGACACTCTTCCGTGTTCATCCATAAAAAAAAGGTACAGGGGCGTTGAAAACAATTGATTAGATGTGTTAATCACGAGACAAAATTTTCAAACAACTGCTTCAGTTTCCAAGTCCAGCTCTTCTTAGTCCCTGCTCACACTTGCAGTTTTCTACACAATGTGGCCCTGATTGCAGTCAGATACATTGCAGAAAGTCCTAGTGTGAAGATGCCCTTACTCATTCACAACTTTTTGACTGCCCTATGACAATCAGCAAAATTACAAAACAGCAAAGGAGTGATGTCCACATACAATGCATCTTCATTGTGACTTGAAATTTTGAATTTTTAAACACTGGATTTTACTCATTCGCTATAATAAGGAGTCGTATAAGGCCCTCCACGCACTACTCACCAAATGTGCAACATGTCGAATGTATCTTCACAAAGAAGATGGAAAGATGCACCCACCGTAGTTTTGTCTTTTTCACATTCACCCATGAACTAACCGAGTTCAAATCCCCATGGACCTAGATGAACAGAACGAAATCATTCGGCATTACCTGGGGCCAATCAGTCCGATGGTTGTATCTCAAGGCCGTCTCCATTTTCGCTTCAAACAAAAAAAAACAAAACAAAAAAAAAAAACGTAAAAGTACCTCAGGATAGAAGGCTTTTTTCTTGGTCGGCCTCTCATCAGCAGCGTGTGCCTCGTCCATTGGAGCCATATCAAATCCGGAGATCAGATCGAACAGTTCAGGCTTACCAAGGGATTTCACATACATGTTCACTGCACAAAGAAGACGGACAGGTCCGCAACATCAAAAACAATTGCACCAATGATTTGGAATTACGTGAGATTCAAACAAAATAAATTTATTCTTGTAAACACACACATCAAAAAAAAAAAAACAGCAAACAAGAGGGAAAAAATATGTGATGTGTCCGTCGCAAGTACATAGCAGGGCTCCCATAATGGACCAATGATTTATGAAACAGTAAAAAAGGAAAGAAAACAAAGAAAAACTTCACGTCCCCCTCCCCTGACTTCCCCTTCCCCTTCACCATCTCTCTCTCTCTCTCTCTCTCTCTCTCTCTCTCTCTCTCTCTCTCTCTCTCTCTCTCTCTCTCTCTCTCTCTCTTTCGAACTCCAAAAAAAAGCACGACTGTGCCAGACTGTTTCGTTGGACTTTCACCAACTCATCAGGAGGTTGAGCGCCGACAGTCTGCCCGCGATGCATTCGAGTGCACGCGTGCATGTGCATGTGCGTCTGCGTGTGTGCTTGCGCGGGGGGGCAGACGGACGTCCGTGTGAGCGTGTATTGTCTCACCCGTTCGGTATACACCGTGTCCATACTAGTGCATTTTGCCTTGTAGGCCCTGCGGCGCCAGACATATGTGTGGGAAAAGGGACGAAACGTGGCACCCAATAGGGGACCGGGACCTGGAACCGGTTTTCCCCCAGACCTGGAAGCCCTACCTTCTTATATCGGCCATTGGCCAACCGGTACCGCGCCGACGGCCCAGATCGTCGCGTGATCTTAAAACCTTTAAGATCGTGCATCAATCCGGGCCACGAACGACCTGGATCGCCGGGTGATCTTAAAATCTTAAGATCGCGTGACGATCACGGCCGTCGGGCCGGTAGGACCGTGGACGGCCCAGATACCAGATTTCTCACGTTAGCGATTTCTATAAGTGTAGGGAAGTATCAGTTCTGACCAGTTTAATACCTGATCCATTGGACCTGGACCTGGACCTGGACCACATAAAAAGGGGAAAAAAAGGTAACCAAAGTACATGAAAGACGTACAAATGAACAAATGATTGCATCATGTGCTCGGGGGCACCGGCCCCGCCACTCGGTCCTCCTTAGGGAGATCTTCCACCTATTAGCTCTCCCTTCGTCACTTCCCTGCTTTTACTCAACGCACCCCCACTGTTGACCACTGTACATCTCCGGGAAACATCAGCAGTCGATCGGTGTCGGACCCATTTCAACAAGTCATCGCCATCTGTATATATTGTCAAACAGAACTCCCTGGTATACGGTAGGCAGAGAGGGAGAAGAGGACAACAAACAAGGGGCTGTGACAAACTGTTTCGTCGGAGTTTCGCCGACTTGTAACCCTCAACAGTCGGCAGAATCCCCTAACTGATGGGGACACTGTAAGTGCTAATCCACCTTAACCCCGGTTGTGGTTAAGCATCAACAACTGCCAGACAACTGAGATACCCTGTGGTGTTAAAATCATATACATCACCTGTATGCCCTGGGATTCCATCTGCTGTAGCCTTCTTCAGATTGTCGACATCATTCGTGATGAGGACAACATTTGCGGTCCTCCCCAGATGCCGCTGATACCACTGCGTCGCAACTCGAATAGCTGGGGAGAATAAAAATCAACAGACAAGAACACGGACACAAAAAAAAAAAAAAGGCCAGCGAGAGAAGGGCCACTCATAAGTTGACACGCACTTTCCCCAGAAAGCCCATGGAAAGCAACAACACTGATTTATTTTTTATGCATACACAGCACTGATAAAGCACGCAGAAAATGGCACGCACTTTGCCCAGTTCTTGACCAGGTTCATCCACATAACAGTGAGGGCTTTGAGGACTGCATGACTGATGGAAACATAACCCCCCCCAAGGGCCTGGAGGGCTGAAACCCTTCTCATGACTAAAGCTAGTGGCCCCTACTGAGGGATTTTCCCGCAAGCATGATCACACAGCCACATCCTAACCGTATCTGACAAGAAAGATAGCTTGTATTCATTCATGTGATGACGGTACCTTCTGTTCAGGGGGAAACCGACACCCGCTACAGAAGCAGCACAACTGTGTCCAGGCTACTTTTTCTTTCCCCTTTTTTTCCTTTTTTTTTTTTTGAAGGGGATAATCGCCAAACTTTTTGTTCTCGCCCCCATACCCACCCACCCCCCCCCCCCCCCCCCCCCATCCCACAAAAAAAAAAAAAAAAACGCACACCTTTCGTTCATCTGATTCCCTCAGGATCCGAACTCGTGATCTGTTTAGTAACATCCACTAGCACCAACCCTAGCTGCTGCCCACACTGAGACTCCGCTACCAGGGCAAGGTCCTGATAGCGAGGAGGATCAGATACATGGCCTGAACCTGGACGTGCTTGTGGAAAGGTGCAGAAAATTGTGATTGATCTGCCTGTCTGCATCTCTGCATGAACCATGGCCACCATGCGGACATCTGGACGCGCATCCAGGCGGTCTGGGGTCCGGTGTCTGGATGCCGGACCGTAGGAGGCCCGTCCGGRGGRGGCCMMCCCCCCCCCCCCCCCCCAAAAAAAAAGGGAGGCACCCTGGACCTGTTCCTCGGGTCCAGGGCACCCCCCAAAAAATGTTTCGTGGATTTCTGGGGCCGGTACCCGTCGTACAGGGCGGCCGGACCAGCCCCTTTCTTACTTCCCGCTCTCACTGTGCAGAGTCGTGCAGACCGTTGGCGGGTCCTGGCAAACTTCGTAATATGCTGCCCGCCCCACCGTCTGCCCTTCCATTCGCTATCAGCCGACACACACACGCACACCCACACCCACACACACCCACACACACAGAAAGAGAGTTGGCGTGAGTGTTGCCCGCAACTTGCCACGCTTAATCAGGTGTGAGTGGCGCACAGCAAGGGTGGTACTGGCAGGCGTTAGCGAGCACGCACACACACACGGAGAGAAAGAGAGCCGGCATGACTTGCCGTGCTTCATCAGGTGTGAGTGGCATTGTGAGTGTCGTGCAGCAAGGGTGGTACTGGCACGCGTTAACGGGGGGAGGGGGGGAAGGGGGGGGGGGGGGGGGGGGGGGGGGGGGGGGGGGGGGGGGGGGGGGGGGGGGGGGGGAGAGGGAGGGAGAGAGAGAGAGAGAGCCACCACCAGGTCGTTACAGCAGGCACATGTGCACACACGCATGCGCGTAAGAGAGAGAGAGAGAGAGAGAGAGAGAGAGAGAGAGAGAGAGAGAGAGAGAGAGAGAGAGAGAGAGAGAGAGAGAGAGAGAGAGAGAGAGAGACTTCCTTTTAACATAATGGTTCCATTCGGTGTTTCGGGCGTTTCGCCCCTGCTTCCGCTAGAAATGGAAAGATGCATTGCCATATCTTTGTGCGTGCGGTTCGGAACAATGAGAAGGGGGAGGCTGGAAACAAGGGGAGGTTCGGAACGACGAGAGGGGGGAGGTTCTTAACAGCGAGAGGGGGGAGGTTCAGAACAAGCGAAGGTTCTTAACAGTGAGAGGGGGGAGGTTCGGAACAAGGGGAGGGAGGTTCGGAACGGGAAGAAGGCTTAGGGTTTGAACTTCAAATCTTTTCTATTCCATTGTGATTTTTTGAACGAAGATTGGTGGGTTCATTTTGGATACTTATGATTCATTTGCAAAGTCTTGACAACATCATGGACGTCTTCACGTTCGGACGTTTGAAATCTTCGGAACATGGGAGGGAGGTTCGGAAGAAGGGGTAAGGAGGTTCGGAAGAAGGGGTAAGGAGGCTCGAAAAAAGAAGGGGAGGGAGGTTCGGAAGGAGGGAGGTCCGAAAGAACGGGGAGGGAGGTTCAGAAGAAGGAGGAGGGAGGTTCGAAACAGGGGAGAGAATCCGATCGATGTTCATGAACTTCAATCGGATTCCCTCCCGTATTTCGAACATCCCTCCCCCTACTCTCGAACCTCACCCTTTCATTAGCTTGATTTGTCGTTTTACATGACAATGTTCTCATTTCGTCTTTGATTGTATGAGAGGAGAATCATGGTTCGTTTTCGACACTTTTCATTCGTTTGCAAATTTTTTACAAGAGTATATAGTTGTTCACCTTTGGAACTTCAATTCCTTCGGAACTTCGGATTCGTTCATTCCTTCGCTTTCCGAATCTAGGTTCATTTTACATTCATTCCTTTGCTTCAGGAATCGTGGTTCGTTTTCGTACATTTGCAAAGTTTTGAGCACATTATTTACTTCTTTAGGTTTGGATGTTTGGATTATTCGGAACGTGGAGGAGGTACGTTCAGAAGAAGCATAAGGTAGGTTGGGAAGAAGGGGGAGGAAGGTCAGGAAGAAGGGGGAGGGAAATTCGGAACATGGTCGAGGGAGGGTTGTCAACAAGGGGGAGGGAGGTTCAGAAAAAGTGTGAGGGAGGGTGGGAAGTAGCAGGAGGGAGGGTGGGAAGTAGCGGAAGGGAGGTGCGGAAGAAGGGGGAGGCAGGTCCGGAAGAAGCGGGAGGGAGGTCCGGAACAAGCGGGAGGGAGGTCCGGAACAAGCGGGAGGGAGGTTCAGAACACGGGGGCGGGGGGGGAGGTTCGAAACAAGGGGGAGGGAGGGTGGGAACAAGGGGGAGGGGATATATATATTATAATTATTTTCCAATCCGGACCAGTCGGACACGATGATCCAGACCATCCGGACCGATCCGAACATGGTCCGCACGGTCCGGGAATGTGGACGTCCGGATCGCAACCGGACCGACTGGTGGTCCGGGTCCGGATTGGTCCAGCGTCCGAGTCCGCGTTAGCCATGTCATGAACACAACCAGATTCAGGCGCTTAATCCAATCCTCTTTCCTAGTAGGACTTTGCCCCTGGGGAGTAAGAGATACAGACCTTTGATCTTCGTTACATATAAGGTGAGTATATCCATGCAAATGAATCTGGGTGCAGATGGCTGAATGATACATGCAGCTATCAATAGTCAGTTGGTCAGTCACAAAATTTTCAATTCTAAAAAATAAAAAATAAAAATAAAAAGTTTAAAAATCAATCCTCTTGAGTACGAGTCTGTACGACTATGCTAGGGGCTATCTCTGTTTCAAAACAAATTAAAACATCAAACGAGTAAATAAATTTAATAAATACATAAACGTTGCTAAAACTTATTAAAATTTAAAAAGTAAATCAACATCTAGGCACAACCTTTCGGATTCAGCTGCATGGTCAAGAACAACAGGAGTGGATCTGGTCCTATAAATTTCCAAATTAGGAGGGATTCACTGCCTCTGCTTCACAAGACGCACACAAAAATAAAAAAATCCTAATTTGGCATACCTCTGTCATTTCGGTCATTTGGAGACTCCCCGCTGTTGATCGTGATATATGTCTCCCTGACAGACCAAACAGGAAAGAAAAACGAAAAAAGAAAAGAAAAGAAAGAAAAAGAAAGGAGAAAAGAGCATAAGCAACAGTATGTCCAGGGTTAAAAATAAAATAAAATAAAAAATCCTTTTGCTTTTTTCTCTCCTCCTATTCATTTTTATTTCTCCCCAATCGAGGTCTCTAACTCCATTGTCTTTTTCTTTCTTTTTTTTCCCTTTTTTCTCTTTTTTTCGTTTCTTCGTCTCTTCATCTCTATACTGTACGTACACTGCCAGGCACTAGGTCCAACCTGCAAAGAGGATTGTGTGATGAACCCAGTCTGAAGGAAACTTGTCAAGTGTCGAGATACAAGATAACTCAGTGCTGATAAATGTCTCCAATAATTGTGAAATGTGATCTGTAATACAATGTCTCATAACCACAGGACGAAGGAGGAGAGGGGGAGGATAGACTTAGCGGGTGGAAGAGAAAGTATCCATCAATGTCCACGTAGATAGAAACCCCTCAGTCCCCTCCTCTTCTTCGGGCATCTCCTCTCCTTCACATCAGCAAACAGTGTCCCGGAAACGAGCCTGACGAGATCTGATCACAATGTAGTGCCACGTAGGCACAGTTCTTCCATGAAGACGTCTCTGCAGCATGCAATGTCGACAGCATCAACACGTAAGTCCCCTCTCTCTCACTCAATCAGTCCCACAGATCCCGATCTCCCTCCTTGTCACATTCTAACCAGTGTCGAAGACGACGTGGCGTGCACCACGTCAGCAATGCCACAAACAGCATGGCACACGCCACATCAGCATGCCACAGACAGCGTGGCAAGTGCCATGTCAGCATGCCACAGAGAGCGTGGCAAGTGCCACGTCAGCATGCCACAGACTGTGACAAGTGCCACGTCAACATGCCACAGAGCATGGCAAGTGCCACATCAGCATCCAAGAAGACAGCTGGCGCCAGAAGCAAAGAGGCGCCAGCACGCATAGCAACAGTCTCGCGTCATCGTCGCACAATGCTAGCGTAGAGCCACAGCCAACAGCCTGGATCTCGTACAGTTGCAGACTTCCACTTGGACCGAATGCTGCCCGGATACCTGCGTACAACTAAGTGTGTGTGTCTGATCGGTGGCCTGGACTGGGTCCATAAGACTTTGACTCGTGGGCCGACATACAGTTGACTTCGGTCAACTGTCGGGCACAGGGCCTCTGAAGCCACACTTCAGGGGTTTTGTTCCCCTTTATCAGACGCAGGGCCTGAGGGCCGTGTTGTGGCCTGCCGGTGGCCCCCTTAGACGACGACATAGGCATATTTGAGCGGGTTATTGCAATTGGATTTAATGCCCGAATCTGGTCGAGGTTCTTAAGATGTGCAGAGAATCGCGATTGATCCGCTTTTCTGCATCTCTGCATAAAACAGGTCCAGATTCAGGCACTCAATCCAATCCTCTTTGTTAGTGGGACCTCGCCGCCTGGAACACCCACCATGTCATAAGACTCGTAACCCTACCATCATTCCCATAGTACCAATACCTATTCCCGGGAAAAAAAAATTGCAGGAGTGGGGGGAGGGGGAAGAAACAAAGGAGGGGGAGAAAAAGGGAAAAGAAAGGGAAAAAACTTCAAAACGAGGAAGGGGGGGGGGGGGGGGGAACAAAAGGAAAAACAAAAATTGGCACCAGTGTGCCTTGGATGACGTCTACAATCAGGGAAGGAGAGGGGGGAGGGCGGTGGTGTGGAGGGAGTTGAGGGGAGCGCAGCAAGAGGGGATTTCCACATTGGGCCCCTTACGTGATCCCCCTCTCCATCCTCATGTGGTCCTTTTCCAGGAAACTTTCGAATATCCAGATTTGCTATAGCCATATTCACTCCTAAAGCCACTTCTATAGCCACATTCACTCCTATAGTCACTCCTATAGCCACGCCTCCTATATATCACTTCCATAGCCACACTCACTCCTATAGTAGCTACTTCCGTAGCCACGTTCACTCTCATTGCCATGCCTCCTATACATCACTTCCATAGCCACATTCACTCCTATAGATATTCCTGCACTTCTGTTGCCAGATTTCCTATCTGTATATACATCCCATACCCTGATTTGCTATAGCCATATTCACTCCGAAAGCCACTTCCATAGCCACATTCACTCCTAAAGCCACTTCTGTTGTCACATTCACTCCTATAGCCACGCCTCCTATTTATCACTTCCATAGCCACATTCACTCCTATAGATATTCCTGCACTTCTATTGCCACATTTCTATGAGTACGTCCTATAGATATTCCTGCACTTTTATAGACTTTTATGTTTGGACGTACTACATCATTGTATGAGGGATGCTGGACCCGCTTTCCAGCAGGTGCTGCTCCCCACCAATAGATTGGAGCCGATTGTTAAACAAAAAAAACAAAAAAACAAAAAACGATTGGGTGGTACCTTTCCCTTTTTCAGTCCCTTTGTGGTACCTAGGGACATGTGCGAAACTTTGGTACTAGACTTTTCAGCATGTGTTAGTATTTTGTTATCCTAGTTTGACTATGCATAGATGATTAGTGCGTAGTTGTTCAACCTCTCACGGTCTAACGCTCGGTGAAGATCACTGTAGTCCGGACTACAGTGACCCCGATACAGCTGATATAAAGCACGTGCGTTCTATTCGGCGGAAGACAGTAGGTCCCACTGACCCAAATTTCTTATTTTCTTACAGTCCAGACTACAGTGACCGCACAGGAGTGGGGAGGTGGATTCGTCGGCAGACTTGGGTTGGTGGAGAGCAGGGGGAACCCCCTGAAGATGATGGCATGGCTGCCATCCAAACGCGGCATCGGGGACGCCAGTACTACCTGACTTGTGTTTTTCAGCTACATGATAATCTTGTCACATCTTGTGGTCTCGTACTCTTTTGACTCTTTGTACTCCTTTGAGTCTTTGTACTCTCGATTTGACCATGAACGAGGCCTCAACTCTGCGCCATGTTCATTCAAAAATGATGGGCTCACTAACGGGCGTAGTTCTCAGTTCGCACACCCACGAACTGTCGAAATACTGACTTGAGTTTGAATCCAGATGCAACTCTACGAATGAATAACCTAGAGGCCGGCCAGTTCGCTGATGACATCTCAAAGCCGTCATGCTTCGAGCCAAGCCCAGCCCAGCCCAGCAGAGCAGAACAGAACAGGAAAAGGAAAGGAAAAGAAAAGAAAAATAAAGGAAAGAAAAAAATGGTCGGCTCGGCAACAAATACCCCATGCAGCAGCACATAGGGCTAATTTAGCAATTTTTGAAACGTGGTGGAAATTCCGAACAAATTCTTGACAAGCATTCTAGCACACCTTTGTTTCAGTTAGCCCCTCAAAAAGAAAAGGGCACCTATATTTTAGTTAACCCCTCAGAAAAGCAAAGGGTACCTCAATTTTTCAGTTAACCCCTCAGAAAAAGCAAAGGGTATCTCAATTTTTCAGTTAAACCCTCAGAAAAGGAAAGGGTGCATGACAAAGGCAAACGTAAAACCACCAGGACATCTTGATAAATTAGGAATGAGCCTCTTCGAGAAGTTCGGGGGGCCTCGAGACAGGGCCCGCCTGGGGGTGGGCGGGAGTTATTTTCTGTTCAGTGTCGCGCCTGGTACCAACCCCAAGGCATGGGACAACATGTTTCCCCACCCGCCCACACCCACCCACGGGTCGGCCGGTCCCAAGCCTCCGAAAATTTCGAAAAGGCTCACTCGTGATTCTCAACTTGGCTGGGGCCATGTACCAGTGGTTAAAGCACCAGTACCTTTCCCACATGTCAGCCGCAGGCAAAGAAAAGTGGGCCGCCGATTCAATTTATCAACGGCAAGACTCACCGGCTTGGCTACCGCGTTACCCAGCGCGTCCTAGATTTCAAGCGCAGAGAGGTACTGATGCTTTAAACCACCACTGCCCCCGCCGTTTTAAATGGGGGGACCGGTAGCACAGGTCCGCGAGGGCTACCTACCACAGTGGGGGAGACTGGCGGAGTGGCAAAATTGGAAAATGCATCGAATTGCCCCGCGATTTATTTCACGATTGAAATGATTTTTTTTATTTTATTTTTTTCCTAGAAAGACCAAGACAAAATCTGCATACCCTCCAATTTCCAGACTTCTTGGAGTATTGTATTAGACGGCAAAAATTGCTGAAGTGGGGGTACTTTTCCCGTTGCCCGACACGTGATAGAGCAGCAAAAAGCAGCAAAAATGGAATATAGGACAAATTGGCACGGCATTTATTTCATGACCTTAAATATATGACGATATATATATTTTTAAATTAAATATTTTTCGTTGAAATTTCACGACCAAATCTACAGGCTCTTCATTTTGCAGAGTTGTTGAGTCATCCTTCTGAGCGCAAAAAGTCAAGGAAGTTGGGGTACTTTTCCCGTTGGCCCACACGTGCCAGAATGGCAAAAATGGAAAATGCAACGAAACGGAGAGATTTATTTTTTTTTTCATTTTTTGATATTTCTCCTGGAAAGACCACAACCTAATCTACAGGATCTCAATTTTTCAGATTTTTTCTTCAATTCTTCTGAGCGCGAAAAATCGCCAAAGTTGGTGCTTGAAAATCCTTGGACCAGGCCCGCCTGCACCTGCCGGTCGCCGCCCCCCCCTAAGAACCCGGTCCATAAGGCCAGGAAAGTCGAATTTAGACCGGCGCGGGTAGTGGTGGTTTAAAAGGAAAGTGGATACAACATTAATTTTAGTCTGGTCCTTAACGAACTGCCAACATTTGGGACTTTATTTCATTTCGGGTAGATAATCGATTGTTTTTTATTTGCTTATTGAGTCTTCTCTATTCATTCATCTCGAAAGAGACGTACGAACCAACTAAAAACTTGTTGAAACCACCCAAAAGAAGCACACACACATGTTACAAAAATGTGTGCTCCCTAATGTTGTTGGAGCCTTGAACGGATCGTCGGCAGCTTTTACAAAAAGCATCTTTTCATTGTTTTGTCCAGCTCAACGGATTGTTGGCAGCTTTTACAAAAAGCATCTTTTCATTGTTTTGTCTAGCTCAACTCTCTTGAATGAAGTTTGCCATTGGGCCTCACTCCTATACTCACCAAATGTGCAAAATGAGAATGAATCTTTGTCTAGAACATGGAAAGATACACCGCCATATGTTTTGTCAACTGTGCATGTGGTGAGCAGTGGAGCTAGATCCAGTGTTATTGACTAACACAGAGCCCTTACCGTGATACGAGCAAGCACGTAACCCTAAACAACACATACATCATCGCACTTCTTTTCTCTACGCAAGCTTCTTTGCACTTCTTAACTAACTGCCAACACAGCAACCCCAATCTGGCTGGAGCCTGACACACATACATCATCGCACTTCTTTTCTCTACGCAAGCTTCTTTGCACTTCTTAACTAACTGCCAACACAGCAACCCCAATCGTAAGTCTGCCATGCTCAACTAACACACAGCCCGCGCGATGAGCACACAGTCCTAAACAACACATCCAACCTCACAAAAAACATTGTTTTCTCTACGCAAGCTTTTGTGCACTCCTTAACGAGCTGCCAACACATCGACCCCAGTCTAGCTGGAGCCTTACACATATCATCGGCAGCATTTACAGAAGTGTGTTTGCTCTAGCTCAATTCTGGAAGGAACTCTGTCATGGTTAACTAACCACAGAGCCCACGCGGTGATATGAGCAAGCACACATTCTGGATAAATCTGACCACAGTTACGTCCACACGTGGATGAATCTGACTGCAATCACGTCCAGAGCTTGGTAAAAAAAAAAAGGTCCTAGTGTGAATAGGCTCTCACACTTCCTTTTTTTTTTCCCTAGACAAGCACTGTGTAACACACATCCTGACAAAATAAAATCACATCAAGACTCACTCTTTTTTTTTCTCTCACTCAATTTCTTGCACCTTTCGCACTGCGCAAGCTCTTGTCTGCTCCTTAAGGAACTGCCAAAACATCAACCCCAGTCCAGACTGGGGCCTTACACAGATCATCAGCAGCGTTTACAAAAGCTTTTTTTATCTTCTTCTTTTCTAGCTCAATTCTGGACGAATTTCTGCCATGAATAACAAGGTCATGCCGATTTTCCGAAAGCATTCAATCAGAAGTCTATACACGCAGAGCTTGCGCCTAGGCTACCAGAGTGGCGGGGACCACTTGCCGGTTGGTAGAGCTAGGCCAGTCGGTAGAGCATCATTTTTCCTTTGTCTCCTTCCCCCCCCTTTATACACCCTACTTCCAGCTCCACCCGATTGTTCAATCTTCATCCGAATACAACAATGTACCCTCATTATGAATGTATATAAGATAACCTTTCAGGCCAAATACAGTCCTGATAAGGGTCCAGTGTGTTCGAGGGAAGACGGTAGCTAACGAAGTGGGGGCTCAGGTCGAATTGCAGTTGGGTGTAAAAAGGGGGAAAGCAGCGAGGGGGGGAAGGGGGGGGGGAAGAAGACTACATTAGGAAACTTTTGGAAGATAAACAAAAGAGATAAGAGAGTGGAACATACCTGTGATGCTCGTTCAGGAAGACAAAAAAGTGCCTTGTTTCGTCAGTCACAAGTGCGCGCAGGCGGTTATACACACTCAGATTCTTGTGCTGAACTTCCTCCATCACGACTGAGAGGATGACAACATCTGTGATTGCTGGATTCTCCAAAAGGTCAATCTGATTTTGTTCCCACAAAACAAAAAAAAAACCAAAAAAACATAAAAAAGGATTGCAACAACCACCTGTTAGAAGATTTCTGAACCTCTCTCTCTCTCTCTCTCTCTCTC